CTCCTGCATCACAGCTCTTTCCTTGCACCCCCAAAAATTCAGTTTTTCCCTGACCACAGCATGAGCAGGCAGTGAAAAGATCAATAAAAAAACTAGGACATGGAAGTCTCATACAATTCAAGATGTAAGTTAATTTTATCCACAGAGAAACTGTGTTTCAAGAAAGAAGAATACACAGGGTAATGTCATAACCTCTTCACCCAACCACACAGTAGGTAATGGTGAGCTACCTCTGAGCTCACATCCATGCCCCCAAAAAGCAAATATGCAGTGTAGCTGCAGTTCTGCCAATCTACAACTTACAATCATGGCTTTTAAACAGCAAACAGCTCTGGTATGAACAGAACTCCCACTTTGAGGATGCTATTCCACAAAACAGTAACACTTGTTCCACAGGCCCTCATAATAGATCAACTCTATAATGCTCATATAACACAGAAGCAGAATCAATAAAATTTCTCTCTAAAAGATTCCAGACAAAGACCAGATTGATGAAGCTTTCTGTGCTAAAATAGCCATACTATCATTTAGATTTGTGAAAGACAAAACAAACAAATAAACAAAAAGACAACACAGCATGTGCTTATCCCTATCAACATCCGAACAGCTCTGCCAGGTGATCAGAAATATTAATGTTAAGAACTATGGTGCTGTAAAGAGCAAAATTACTACAAGGGAAAAGGAAGATTGTGAGAATGATCAGCAACTACACAGACAAAAAAAAAAATCATCATCCAAGAGATGTCATGCCTACTAGCACAGAATCCTAAAGCATCCCATATGGTATTAAATAACCTGCAGAAAACCTATTTTACAAGTTAATAGAAATGCTTCTAACAGCTCATTTTAGAGAGTGTTTTTGCCTCCTTCATCCCCAGATTTATCAGTTTTCTTCTTAGAATATCAGCTAAGGTTAAAGTGAGCGCAGACTACTGTAGGTGACTTAGTGCTCACAGTTTTAAGTGAAAACATAAGTTTTACCAGCAGAAGGAGAAAAGAATTCTACTGCTTAGTATTTAGTAGAAGCATAGATTATAATATATAAGCATTATAATATATAAGCAGCTGCTTATATTTGTATTCTCCAACATCAAATCAGATTTCAGTAAAACAACAGTATGTAAAACAAAATCTCACGTCATAAGCATTCTTGTCCCACTGTCTGAAACACAGAATTGAAGCAGGAAGTAAATGTTTAACTCAGATAATTATTTTACTTGAATTTCTTAAAAAATAATAATACATTTTAAATAAATTAGTGCATGCATTTCATGTAACCTGATAGGAAAACCAAGCACTGGAACCTCAATAATCCCATAGTAAACTGTTCATTCTCTCAACCTGGAGTTATTATTCCACGAAAACATCACTAAAGTCTTCTTTCATAAGTTGGACTGGATGAGCTTTTAGGATCCCTTTCAACTGAACTGATCTTCTCATTCGTTTACTCTTCCTGAGGGATCCATTTTGGCCACTGCCAGAAATACGACACTGGGATAAGTGGTCTTTTCCATTGGCTGTTGTACAGTGATTTCAGTAGCAAGCCAATGGTCTCACAGTCAACTCCAAGCAACAACTAATATTAATATTAAAATTAGTAAAAGTAAGTTGAGGACCCTTTGGGATCCAAGTGCCTCACTTACAGGAGGTGCTAAGCATAAAACATCACTACCATTGCAGGTGGGACTGAGATCTGGGACTCTCAGGTGTTCAGCAGACCCACCAAATGGTCTGTTCTGAAATCCTCCACTTTAGTAGAAATTGAATAAAGCGAAAAAAGGAAAGGGTTCGGCATTTTAGCATTTTACAAGCATGCCACAATTAGCAGTGACAGTGGTCAGTCAAAGGAGAGTAGTTAAAATGAAGCATCTGGTGAAGAGAAAGAGCCATCCAGCACTTAGATTTAACAGAACCACTTCTTTTCTGCTCACTGAATTGCTTTGCTGAAATATAAAAGCAGTCCCTGAATGGCCCAGTTTCCCAATCAGGCAAGCATTTAGACTTGGCAACCAACAAATACTATTTGAAAAGTTTGCAATTAAAATACATGTTTGCGTATCTTCGTATCAAGACTCTGAAAATATGCAGGTTAAGGGAAACTCTGACTTGTTTAAACAATATTTAATGGTAAAAAAATAAACGTGAGATAAACGTTTAGCATAAATTGTCTTTATGATTTATGTGCTTAAAAATAGCCCTCATACTGAGTAAAGCATAAATGAAAGATTTACAGAAGGAAAGAGCCAATTGTTGTCATACTGCTGTAACTCATCAGCTCAAGGAGCATATAGCTTGCTGCCAAAAGTTCCTAATGCATTTCTTTTCAATGAAAAGAAGTAAAACTCTGTTTGCTTTCCTTGTAATTCCTACTCACAGTATTTAGTTGCACAAGAAAAAAAGTTGCAAGAAGTTTCTAAAGACGCTGTAGAACTATAGAGTTTAAAAATATTATAAACTGAACCATGACTATCGTTCATGGGCTTAAACTTGTGACGTTACACAACTGCGCATCCTCATGTAATTCACTCAGTGTGCTAAGATCTGCTGTCCCACATGATTTCTGATGCATCAAAAACAAAGAAGTAATGGCTTCTTATCTAGGCAAAACACTCCAAAAGGAAGAAAATCAAATAATAATACCAATAATCCAGCCATACCCCACTAAGTTAGTAGGTGTGTGAATTTTATAGTGTGAAAAATAAGTGATTTCAAAACTGCATCGTGAAGGATTTATTTCAGTGTCATGTGTGCTCTTCTGTGTCTGGTAATTTTGTCAAAGTAGAACAGGAGGGGAAAGAAGAAATTTGGATATTTGCCCTGACCTTTCTATAGCCCTCCTTCTCACCTATCCCAGCCATTTAGATTAAATATAAAATTCCATAAATGCACTGATTGTGCCAAAATCCATTTCATTATTGGATGAGCGGAGCACTAGGTGCTGTTAGGTATCCCAACTCATGCTCCTTATTTCCTCTTACCTCTATTTTTTAAAGAAGTCCAAGTATAAATGATTCTTCATAAATTTTTTCTTTAAATCTCTCTGATAAAATGGAGATACTCTTTGAGGACTCAAGCTGTATGTTTCTGAACATAGCATGCATATTTGAGCTTTACTTGCTTGCCAGGCCAATGGTTGTGGCTAAGAGTCCCTTAAAACAACTCTTCAGTGTTCAGCTTTGACTTGCTGAAGTTTGCAATGTAAGTTGCAAGAACTGAGTGTTACTTAGAGAAGAGAGACAAGGAACATCAGACAAGATTCAAGTAGTAACGAACACACATCTTGTCTTACTTTTCTACTGCTTTTCTAGGTCACAGATAGATACGACTGCTTGGTGCTCACTGCTTACTTTTGCCAAGTGTATGCAAAAGTACTGAAAAGAAAGTGCTGATACCAAGCAATTGTAGCCCTTAAGCAGAGCCCATAAGATAGCAAAAAGTTCTGGCACTTCTTCAGAACCGAAAACAAGTCCTGTACTTTAGAATCAGGAAAGGAGATATTTTGTCAGCTTCAGATTGACTTCTGTACAACCTGATGTTTGTTTAACAGCCTTGGCACGAGAAAGTGAACACGGAGTACCAGCTCCAATGCATGCAGGATATCACAAACCATTAGAAAGGTAACCATGCTAAGCTCTCAGTTGTTGTTTTAAATCATTGCCCTTCTGTATCTTGTAAGATATGATGCATCCATACCCACCAAAGATCACCTATCTCAAAATCAGCTTGCTTGTTCCCTCCTGGCCGTGGACCTGACTTTCCTCACAGGCAAAAATGGAGATGTAAGCCAACCTTTCCTACATATTTCAGAATGCTCTGTGAGCTGGGAGAATACATCTCCTGGCTTTTCTGTTATGCAGCATGCGTGCCATAACACAGCTAAGAGGGGTGGAAGAGTAAAGTCTAAGCCGAGAAATTAACCACAAGCTTTCACCTTCAGCATCTCATCTGCAGCTATGCAGTTCAAGGGAAAGATGTTTAAGGTGAAAAAGGTAGCAATCAGTCGCCATTGATTATTCTGAATCAGACTTTTCCACGAACACTGCAATTGCTAAAAGCAATCCCAAGTTAAGCAACCCCTCGTCAATTCTTCCTGGGATTTTCACCTTTTGGTTAATTCCCATTTTACCTGACCTCAACAGACACCACACACCCACTGAGGAAATTGTGTATCCAAGCACCCGCACTAATAGAAGCACCATTCATCCAACTAATACATGGAGCTTTTACTGATGAGTCAACCTCTCCGGTAAGGCTGAAGACACAGTTTTTGCCAATTCATACAACTTGGCAGTAAGCAAAATGACTGTATATACATCTTAAAGCAGAGGTACCAATCAGAGCACAAACAGAAGCCAAGAAGTAAAGCTGACACACAAGGACAAAGCTGTGGCTATGGCTTAACCAAGGTCTCATGTTTTACACGAGGCTGATTGCCTACCTTTCACCCTTCTCATATTTCATTTTTAGCAACAAATCCAAGGTCCAGCAAACCAACCAAGTATTTGTTATCTGAACACCACAGCTGTATGAGCACTGTACAAATGCATACTCACCTTCTCACCTAGTCCAAGTCACACATTTACAAACTTTATCAAGCTGAGCTTGCCTTAAGTGCAGAGAGATGCCATAAACGTTTCCCTGTGCTACAGCATCTCCCAAAAGCAGAGTGCATCCTCTGATGCAGATCAGGGAGAACTGGCATTGGACTTGGCAGCAGAAACACCGTGACAAAAGCTCTCCGGTACCCGCGGAGGCCGCACACACTGCCCCAGGAAGCAGAGCAAGGCGCTATGGATGGGGGGCCGGGAAGCACTGCAGCTGGCAGCGAAGTAGCAAACCCGCACGTGAAAGCCCACCGGCATCCTCGTCGAGCAATACGAAGAGAGGAAGGGTGAGCCCAGGGAGCGGCAGAGCCCAGCTGCAGGCTCCATAGGAGGGGAAGCGCCCGGCACGGCACGCAGACAGGCGGCGGAGGGCAGAGGGCTGGCACCCGCCCCTACCTTGTTAAGGTGCGGGTCGCGGAGCACCTCGTAGCCCCTCTTCATGGTGAGCTGTAGGGGCCTGCCACCCTCCCAGCTCCCGGCTGCCTTCCCTGCTTGCATGGCGACGGGCTCGGCGCGGCGAGGCTTACTGCCGTCAGGTCTTGCGGGAGAGAAGGCGAAACGGCGGCGACTCCTCCTGCTGAGGTGACCGCCCGTCGGGGTGGGATGATCCTGCAGGGAAAGAGAGAGAGAGAGTGGGGGAGGGAGCGAAGGAGGGGGCAGAGCCGCGACGAGGCGCCGCCGCCAGGCGGGGGTCACTGGGCGCCGCGCTGAGTCACCCACCGGCGCACCCCGGTCGGGGCGGTCAGCCAGCCCCCTCTGGGGAGGGGAAGGCCTCGCTGCGTCTAACGCCGAGCGCTGTCGGCAACAGCCTGCTCCCTAATCCCTGCTAGGGAGGAATTGCGACAGCGCTCCTGCCTCCTCACGCTCATTTTTGTGCGGAAGATGACGCGGCGATGCCCCCACAGCCACGCTGCTCGATGCCTGCAGGTGCTGCGCGCGGTGCTGCCCGGCGGACCCGCGCCCAGGTGGGCCCTGAGCTGGGAGCGCTCCTCCGGCCTCAGCTGTGCGCGGAGCCGGGTCTGGCCACCCTCACAGGAACCGAGTTTCGCTTTCATTATGTTATTATTAAACACCGGTGAAATCTACCCTTCTCTGGAGGGGATCGGCTGCACAGCTCGGTGCAGTGCTCAGCGTGAGCTGCTATCAGCTTCAGGGAGGGGAGGAGCAGCAGGGCTATGGGTGGTAGAGATGGAGAGCACAGGAGAGCAGAGCAAGGCAGGTGTTGGGCCAGTCTGTTGGATTTGTTTGCCGCGTGCCCTAAAACTGTGTGCTGTAGTATTGTGGCTGTGTTTTTCCTGATTCGTTGATGTAAAGAGAAATAATCTTTATATGGATCCTGTGGCCGTGCTAGAGGAAATACACAGCTTTAAATTAATGACAGAAAACTACTCAGCGATTGAGGCTTTTGCTGTTACACTGATGTTGCAATGTCAAGCAGCAACAAACATAAGAACGTTGAAACTATTTTAAACTTACCTCCTTGCATTCATTCTGTAGGCCTTGTATCCATCCTGCTACCTCATCTTCTATTAAAGAGGCTCTCCCAAAACCTGACCTTCTCCAAATTTCCTGTTAAGTAGCTCCTAAAAGTTCACTTGAGATTAATTAACAAAGGGAAATTGGAAGGATTCCAGGTTATGCTTCTTGAAACTTGATTAGCTAGTCAGCAGCAAGCTCAGTAAATAAACTTCTCCCAGCCTCCACTGCCTCAGGAAGCACTGTGAAGAGTGGTATTAATAACAGGTTTTGAACAAATTTCAGACTTCAAGCCTCTGTGACTAACAATCCAGCCTTCCTGAGGCTTGTCTGGATAGCTCAATTCCTGCCCAAGTCCTGAATTTTACCTTAAATAGGCATATCAGGAACATCAGGCTCACACTGCAGGCCTCCTTTGGTCATGATAAAAATGAAAAGCAAAATGGAATTTATTTATTTATTTATTTATTTTTTTCCAGTTCTTCGCAGGTAGGTTGAAACCATTCCGACAGAATGGTAACAAAGGTGATACTTTTGTCCCAGAGAGAGAAAGGTGCACTGATGTAATTGTTATCACAGTGTTGCAATGTGGTCTATTTAAAAAAATAAATAAATAAAAAATAATTAAAAAAATTCTCTTGTTTACATCAGGAATCACTGTAACAGCTATGACATCTGACCCCTGCTAAGAACATGTCCTGACTCACCTTGTTCTTACTATTAAAGGTATGTAATGTAACAGCTAATTCGGGTGAAAGTCAATGTGGCCCTATTATCCCTTACATAACCAGACTTCAGAAACAGTTTACCGCCGTATTTACTGTATGAATTTCTTCCTGTCTTCCCCAAATTATTATAGAATCATAGAATCACAATGTTGGAAACAACCTGCAAGATCATCTAGTCCAACCGTGCTCCCATTACCATTAGTACCACAAGCACTAACCCATATCTCGCAGCTGCTCATTCAGACTCCTCTTGAACACTGCCAGGAACAGCAACTCCACCACCTACCTGGGCAGCCGTTCCAGTGCCTGACCACTCCCTGAGGGAAAAAGTTCTTCCTTGTGTCCAATCTAAACCTCCCCTCGTGCAATTATTTCTGTTATCTATTATTCTCTCTGATATTGTTTCTGTTCATCATGTTCAACCACTAATACACTAATACTAATACTATACAATAATGATATTTTTAAAGACTTAACCTTCATTCAAATAAATCAGTAAGGGTTATACGTTATGAAGGTATTTCTGACAGTGGCTTTGTTGCTCTTCTGGTAGGCACCTCATTCTTCTTCTCAAGTGGTTCATATAGCACAGTGCTAACATTCCTGCTGAAGATTTTTCTGAAGTAGCTGTTCTTGAAGACCCTCCACTGTCTCCTCCTGCTTCCCTCCATTCAATTGTTTAATGTGTCTTTGTCTGCCAAATCTCCCCAGTTGTATTATGGATATGTAGAAAGTTCTCTACAAGAAATAGTCCTATAAAAAGTGACCAGAAAGAGCACTGGATGTCATCTCATTTGCCTTCATGTCTCAACCTGCTGTTAGATAGCTACAAAAAATGAGATCTTACAATCTGCCTTGGCAATCCAACAGTGAGGAGATCATACGGGAAAGAAAAGATTTCCCAGTTGCTGTAGTGGTTATTAATGAGATCTTGTATTGGGCTGCAACTGATCAAAGGATTTGGAACTTGTCAAACCATTGCTTGAACTACAGCAGACTCTGGGGTCTCCTGTGGTACCGCTCTGGGAAAAAGTCAGCTTCCAGTGCTACCAGCTTAGAAGAAGAGAGTGGAAATCCTACATCCTGATGAAAGCATTGCATTAAATGCTCACTTCTCACCCCCCCCCCCCCCCCTTTTTTTATTTTATTTTTTTTTTAGGACTTGTACTTCATATCAGACTTGCCCAAATCAAGATCTTTAGTTGGTCTGTTACCAACTGATGTAGAAAAGTTTCTTCCCCTTTAAAGAAAAGAGATATTTTAGAAGATTTTTCCCTGAATTCCATCACGTCTCTTACCCAGACCCTCAAGCCTCCCATGTTCCTCCCAGGTCACGTTTTCTGCCTTACCATCCTAACCACACTCCCGAAATGCTGTTGCAGGCTGATTATAGGCCACATTACGCCAGCCAAAACCTCACCTAAACCAACTAGAGAGGTTTACTTCACTTGTTTTACCAGCAGTGATTCTGTTTATTCTTCTCAGTAAAATGTTTGCTTTTTTTTGCAATAGTGCAACACCATCAACTCATGTTTGGTTTGTGGCCCAATGTAACCCCATGTCCTTTCCTGCAGGGGTGCAGTCCGAATGAGTTGGCAATATCATGTCAAATTTGGCAGAAACACAAGGTTAGCTTTAAAATGGGAATTGTTTAATGATTTAAAAATAGAACTGAAACATTTGTAACATTTCTATTATGTAAACATTTTACAACAAGCAGTAGCAAGCCAGAACTGTACTTGGTAGTTTGAAAGGGAAATTCACTTTTTGGTCATTGGGAAGTGTATTTTTAATTAGCTAAGCTGAAGGAGAAGAAAAACTAAATAGCATAAGCAGTGCAATATTACTGTTTAATTTTAAATTGAATAATTTTTGGTAATACAAATGTGTTGTAAGACAAACTTGGATTTTTGCTGTTGTTTTCTAAATTTTATTTTATTTTACTTTGAAGTAAGTAATGCACACTTCAAGCTGAGTGAGGAATCTAATGGCAGTTTTGATATGCCTGAAGTGCCTGAGGGGTGTCCTCTCCATTTCTTCAGGGCTCTCCCCACCCAGCCCACAGCCCCAGACACCACATCAAGTTCCCTAGCACCATCAGTCCCTGTCTGTGCCCAGCTCTGGCACAGCTACATCTGTGCCCGTCCATGGGCCCTGCTGATCTAACACGTGGCAGGGTGAAACTAAGCAGCATGGTGATCTCAATATGCCCTCTGCCTGCTCTCGTCACTACATCACTCAGTAATCATGAGCTTTACCAGACCCTGGCTCCCCACACTGTGCCTGACCACAGCAGACCTGGCCAAGGGACTGCCCCGAGTTGCCCCCAGACTGTCCTGGTTTTTCACTGTGGATGATAGGGTGGGCCTTCACTGGTCAGACTCTCTCACGTCAACTCACATGGAGAGCCCCCCAGGTTCCAAGGGAAACACTGCCCTCACTGTGTTCTGACACTGTGGACAGTTTTCCAGAAATAAGAGCCAGGATATTCTCAGAGATAGGACATAGAATGACAACAGGAAGGAGAAGCAAGTTGCACCTGGAAAACATCCATTTGGCCCTAAGGACAACATTTTCCACCAGAAGAATGGTGAGTGCTGAAGCAGGCTACATAGAGGTCAAGGAATTTCCATCCCTGGAGATTTTCCAACACTTGAGACAAAGGCCAGAGTGACATTGTCTCACTTCAGGGTTAGGCTTATTTTGAACTGGAGGACCTTCAGCTGTCCCCTCCAATCTGAACTTTTCTGTGATTTTATGAATTGCACAATACTGAGAAAGACAAATTCTCTGAACACACTGGCATATCTACAAGAATTTCATCATGGCAGCTAAAGGCCTTTGCTCCTCATGATCTCAAGTTTCAGTGATTTCGCTCCTTTATTTCTGGCTCTTTTTCTACTTTGACATTTATCTGCTTGGCCAATGGGCTCTATATTCAGAAAAACAGTTTTTGTAACACTTCAGTCTTTACTTGCTTTAAATCTAGTTAAACTACTTAACTTCAACAATTGGTGATAAATATCTGCCATTTTGGAAGCTGAGGCTAGATTGATGGAAATCAAAATTGTTCCAGTGTAATATAAATATAGCTAAAAATATTTAATATACCATAAATATGCCCGTTGTACTTTTTACTAGTTGATATTGCATAGTCCAGGCATTGCAGCAAAAAAAAAAAAAAAGCCACACTTGTCCAGCACATGTTGACAGATGTGTTAAAGCACCATGAGAGAATTTCAGCTTAGTGCACACCAATAGCTACTTCCATCAGCTGACTGCAGAGGAGGGAGAAGGACACACAGGGGCAATTGCATGCCTATAGAACCATTCATTTCTGCTGCATGGTTTGCTCATGGCAGAATGAGAAGTGAATGACGTTTTATTGTTTTGACATGTGGGCCACATCCTTCACAAATGTACAGATGCAACAAGAATGAGAATATATTTTAAAAGTTGATATAAAATAGTTTTATTTTGATTATATATAGACACTCTGGAGTAGCTTAAATGACCTACATAAAGCAGTGGAAAATCACGTACCTCCTCTTCAAACTATTCAAAAAAGTTTGAAGCAAATCTTTTTTGAAATATCCTTTTTGAATTAATTTCCTGAATTGGCTGGTGATGAGGAATGTCAGTTATTTCTAGAATACCAAGGCTACTTATCTGAAAGACATGAAATCTTGTTAGTAGTATCTTTTTATCACTAATGCTAAAGCCTTCATTGTGCACTTCACATAATTTTACGAAGTACGTACACATTTCAATCTCAAATATTTTAAAGATAATATGGAAGAATATTTCGGATTACTAGAACTAACATTTTTGACTGTTATGTTAAGTATCTCAGAACAAATTTTTCTTGGCTTTGTTTTAGCAGTGTTAACAATGAATTTGGAACTGAGGATTATTGAATGCCAAAATAAAATTGCTATGACATTATTGTATGATTCGTATCTTAATACTGGGAGTTCACTGTATTGCTAGGAATAATAGGATTTAGAAAAAGGCCCCAAACAGCATTTTTACTTAAACTGCTGTATCAGATGTATGTTCCAGCAATAAGAGTAGTAACTTTGTAAGTCTCCAACCATTGTTTATAAAAATGTGATGAATTATTTCAGCTCTGTCAGTTACAGGCATAATTCTAAATAACTTTGACACCTTTAGGATTACTTTGGAATAGTTTTAGTGAGTGTGTTTCTGATGTTTGTTTCCATTCGCTTCCATTTTCACCATCGTTATGTCTGGCACAGTAATGTTAATGGTTTAGCAACTGACAAAGCATGCTCTGAAAGGTCTTAACTACTTCCTCTCCTGTGCAAGGACAGATGGTTTTGTGGGCCTGTTAAAGACTTCTTCTCCACATGTTCTAATTACCATAAGTATTTTGGAGATTGTCCCACAAAGTCCATTTTGTTTTCCAAATCATTAGCAATGTTAAAAACAAATCTTCTCACAAAAACTTTGGCACAGGCTCAAATATAATCCTTAGTTCATCAGCAACCCTTCCTTACGCATGGGAAGCTGTGTGGGGTCCATTACATGCAGTTCACTTGCCAAAGCACTGGAGGTTCATGAGATTCCAGCTGCACTTAGATTCCAGCTGCATTTAGATTTTTTTATATACAAATATTTTGTACAAAACCAACCTAAAGGTAAAATCACCTAAATCAGCAGAGAAGAAGGAAGTGGCAAAAGTTTTTGAGATAATAAATTACTACCTTCCAGTGCAAAGAGTGGCATTCTTAAACAAGAGTCCATAGACAAGATATAAGCAAACCACAGGGTATTGGACTAGATGACCTCTAAAACTCCCTTCCAACTGAAACAATCCTAACATTCTGTGAGCATCCCTTTCAATGATTCCTGGTTTGTTAATAGTTACATAAGGCCTTGACAACTTCAGCGTGAGTACAAAACATAAGAGAAAATACCTACAATCTTCACAGAATCACCAAGGTTGGAAAAAACCTTCAAGATCACCCAGTCCAA